ATTTTAGGTACTGATTCTAAGCATGTGGAGTTCAAATCAACTCTTCATTACCAGCCTAGTAATATCCCAATTGCTGGGCACTGGCATTGAATATGGAGAATATGCCATGAACCACCACGCAGGTTCAATGCGGATTGATTGGTATTAACGACTGTAGATGCACCCAGGGCCGACGGCTTGCCTTCCGAAGTACGACGCAAATTCTTGGTCACCCCTCATCGCACACCGAACTTGTCAACTACAGCGCTATTGGGCTCCTCGGCTTACTACAATTTCTTAAAAGTTGTCTCTTAAAATAATATCTTGTTTAGTTATAATAGTCTTTTTTCATATGGTTTATTATTTTTTTTCTTCATTACGCGGGCTCAGTGCACATTGATGGGTATTTAATTACTGTAGGTGCAGCCGGTACCAACGACTTAACGTGCTTTCACGAGCACGGAAGCGGAAGAGATAATACATTTTTGTTTAGCCATCTTACAACCGGTCATTACGAAAGTTACTTAACAAGTATATCGCATATCGAGTGCGCTAACCACTACGCCATCTAGCTCCTGGCAATCCTTCGAGCTCTGAAAAAACTTGTTATATCTATATTATTTTATGAATATTATAATTATATGCAATCGGGTCTTGTTCGTGCATTTTTTTAAAACAATTATTTATATATATTCAAAGGTGAATTCTGATCAAAGGTGCATTAGGCATTCTCTTCTAATCAATCGCAGAGTAGTGTAATAGAAAGTATATTAAGGCGATGCAAAAACAAAAATATATATATATATATTTGGGTTAGAGAAAACCTATAATAATATACTTACATACTTACTCAGGCCATACTGTTAGAATTAAAAATAAATAAAACATTACTTTTGAATTTCGAATCGCACTTGGTTTGCGATAAAAGGGCTGATGATATAAAGATGATTCTAAGGAACAAAAGTGATCAGCCGATTCTTACTTTTTCTTACATAAGTAGAAGGAAGTAACAACCAGAGAATCGTCTTACGACATATATAGATGACTCTAAATTAGGGTGGATTACCAATGTCTCTTAACTCAATACTCACTAGGGATAATAAGGTTATAGCAAGCCATAACTTTAATTTAAGGTACGTTGATATAAAACGCAAAATGTTAATTTAAAAATTGACCCACAGACACGCATGAAATTTCAGTTCAGAAATAATCTATCATAGATATCTAAAACCTAGACTCCACCTACTTGCTCTATACTTTTTAATTGTATGTCGGTCGAGGCATAAGTGTGCCAGACTTGATTAAGCCTTGAGATCACGTCATCGCAAAGTACACCGGGTGTTGCAGCTCTGTTGAATGTCATATATATGTCATAATATATATAAAAATAAATCAATTTTATCCTTTTAATAGCCGGAAAAAAACAAAAACCATTAGCTTAATAGAAATAAAGATAAATTGAGAAATAAGATTTTTTTTATCGATTTGGCTAATAAGTAATGAGCGTTTTAATTTTTATTTTCTAGAAACTGAGTAGGGTCGATAACGTTCTATGGCGGGGGGGTATACAAAGAGCGAGTCGTGATCATGCACGCCAGTAATACTTTCAATGTCGTTGCGTTAACTTCAACGAAAAAATGAAGGATATTAAAACCCATGTTCGATATTGTTTATTATATGAGTACCAATTTGGCCATTTCGCTGCAGAAGCTGCACATAACATATGCCAATGGGTAGCTCATGACGCAGTCTCTCAGGCAACAGCAAAGCGGTCGTTCCAACGATTCCGCAGTGGACTATTTTACAACCCTGATAGATCAACTGAGGTCTGGGCGTTCAATAGAAACAAATATAAATAAACTGAAGACGTTAATTGAAGAAGATACCTGATGCAGCCCATGTGATTTGACTGTAGAGCTTGGTTGCCCTCATGGTATGATTGAAAATAAGTTGCATGCATTTGGAAAGTCTTACAAATTTGGCGTTAGAGTACCCCATCAGCTGACCAAGGATTAACTGGCTAGACCATCTCGTCACTGGAGACGACAAGTGGGTTATGTATGTTAAAAGCAAGCGCCAGTGGCTAGGCCGCAACGAACCAGGCAAATCTACGTCAAAAATAGATCTTCATCCTCGCAAGGTGATGCTGTCGGTATGGTGGGATGTACATGGAGTAATATATTGGGAAATTCTACCCACCAATACCACGATCACAGCGAACGTGTACTGTAATCAACTCGATAATCTGAAGCTTGAACTTCATCGTAAGCGTCCAAAACAGGACAAAATACTTTTCATCCATGATAAGATCCACGACAGAAACTATTAGAGCTGAACTGGGAAATAGATAGTTCCACATCTTCCGTATTCACCGGACTTAGCGACTTCACTTAGTACCCCAGTTACAACAGTACATAGATGACTTTTTCAAATCCAAACCGATAAAGTTTTGCAGAGACGCAATCCAATCTTTGCGGCGTTTGTTACATTGTGAATGATTAGCTATTATTTCATATATAAATAAATAAAAATTGAAGTTACGCGTGTAGCTCATTATTTATGTATTAGACGACCCGATAATGTCCAATATTATATTGATCGAAAGTTCTTGTTACGACAAATTCGATGAGATTTCTTTATCAGAGCAGTTGCATTCCATATTAATATTTCATTTTCATCCGAGTTACTTATCTATGCAAAGTTTCAGCTCAATCAAAAACGGGGAAGTGGATTAAATTTAGCTTGCAAGGTTTGGAACACACTAACTATTGGCACATTAGAATGGCTAATTAAATGAAAGCTTGAAAAAAAAATATTCTGATATAAAATCTGGCAGCTTTTAAACGATTTCGATTGGTCGAAAAATATCGAGAGCACTAAAGACGATCCTAATAAAGTAAATTTTTGAACGAAACAGAATTAGACTTATGAATTGAACCTGGAACCAGATTTGACGCACACAATACTTAGCTACGGGATTTGTAGCAAACGAAAAAAATCGTCATTACATTATGTTATAGCTTTATGGCAGTTTGGTTTGTAATCATTATTCATAATAATACTGATTCAGATTTGTTGTGATATAATTTTCCATTTACAAGAAGATTAGGTTAAATAGACTCTAAAATATAATCATATATACTTGTATAATCCCTTTATATACTTTATATATTTATTTTAATACTAAAATAGTGCATTTAACAAGAAACAAACAATGTTTTGACGACAATTTGTTTAGAGAAAGTTACACAGACAAAGGTAAATCGTTAGTCTAGGAGAAAGGGAACAAGATTTTCAACTCCTACATATTTATTTTTGTCCACAATGAAGTTATTATCATATTTGTTTTTTTTTCCTAAAATAACAATGTATCTTGTAGTACAATAAAAAGAAGAAATATTTTTTGTACCGCTTTTTATTGAAGATTTGGTGACATTCGTAAGGAGATATTTTGCAAATGTTGTAACTTCTTTTTACGTGTATATTGTGATGTTTTCGTTCATGCTTTTACTTTACATAGCTCAATTAAGTTTACTTAAACTTTGATAGTTGTTAGCGGCCATATTGTTGAATCTACTTAATACATAAAACCGTACGGTTCGAATCAATGTAGTAAATTAATTTCTCATTTTATCTCGGTCTTGGAGGTTGTGGTACGTTCGTTGTTTAAAAATTTCATAATACAAGAGCTATAGCTACTTATTTGTATCTGACTGATACCGATTATGTAAATGTATGTGATGTTGTTTATTATTAATTTGGTTTTTAGATATATTAATATGTAACAACTAATTTTAAATAATTATGCTCACAAGCTCTAGGACTATAATCGATTGTCAAAACGACGTATGACAAATAAGACGCATTGTGCAGTTAGAATAACTAAACGTAACAATTGACTTTCAGCTTCTGGCGACAAGCGAGGGCGGCGATCATTCAAAACAAGATGGGCTCGCTCAGCACCAGTTTGGTTGCGTTGTTTTTATTATAATACAATATTTATTTATTCTGTAGACCGGTTTCTATGGAAACCAGACTTTTAAAATTAGCTTATTCCACTTACAATTTTTTATGTTTTATAAGTTGAAGTTGGCATTAATGACGTCATAAAATATGATATTTAACACATTGTTATTGGGATTATAGGCACTACTCTGACCTTTGTGTAAATTAAGATATTTTTTATTTCAAAGAGTAAAAAAGACTATACATTTGTTAGCTGTGTAACGTAACAGACAGATAGATGGTAAGTAAGATGTGGCCTATTATGGTATATGGTATGGTAGTATAGGTATGGCATACCCAGGAAGTACCTATTCACTGTAACTTTGAAGAGTTACGATGGTACGTCGATAGAGAAAATGTTGTCTCTGGTACTCTGAGATTTTAAGCATTTTTATTAAGAATATCTTCCAGTATAACATTGTGAATGCAAAATTGTTCAAATATAATAACATGATTTTTAATTTGAATAGTTTCGTAAAGTTGCATACCTACCATAAGCAATTTCTTCTTTTTATATTAATTTTTGTTTTTTTTTTTATTCCAGTTTTAAGCTTTAACTTTAACATCACAAGCAACTAGACTCTATTAGAAACTAGAAAAGGTATTTTTTTTTTTAAATAGACTCCAATCATAAATTGAACCCGGAACCAGACTACGTCCATAACTGCTGATCTGCTACGAAACTCGTAGCAGACTGATCAATAATAAGGATAGGTTGTCTACATGAAAAAAATAAACAAATCAATAAATAAACACTTCACTTCCCAAACACGACACTAAATTTCATCGTAATAATGACATTGTACTAGTTTACATTTAATTCATAAAATATTTTTAATGACACTACAGTGATTTTTAACAAAACAAAAGAATCGGATGTTAATGGTCTTATCAGTTGGTTCAAAGCAAATACTACAATTGTTTCCGAACGTGTGGTCCGTTAAATAATCACACTGCACAATTGGAGTTAGTTACCATACAGCCAAGATTCATTGGTCAGTCCACGCTCTCCTGGCGTTCAAGCCACACGAGAATCGCAACCCTGGAAAAAAAGAGTAAACGAGTTAAAATTCTTTTGTGTTGTGAGTGAAACTTTGTCTCTGGTCGGTTGAAAAGGAAGTTTTTATATCTTGTGAAATGTCGTTTTAATTATGTCTGTAATTTCGGTGAGTATTCCAATTTTGAATGTTATTTTTTTGTTAACAAATGAAATGATCTCAAAGTGCTAAGTGAAAAATTAGTGGCTATTCAAGTGTTTATGATTGAGATCTTGCGAACGTCGTTGAGTTAATGCGTTTAAGTAATGCTTCTCTAAGTAAATATGAAACAAAAACATACTTGCTTTGTTTAATAAAAGGTTTACGTATACTATAAATAAGTAGATTTTAAACTTGTTTGTGTTATTATTATAAACGGGAAAGATTCGATTGTATGTATTGAAAAGTTTCCGAAACTACTGGACCGATTTTAAAAAAATTACACCTACGTAAGGTAGGTAGGTAGGTTGACATTTACGCGTACGAAGTCGTGGGAAAACAGCTAGTCTAAAAATAAAACATTTACTCAGTGATTTGTTTATGCAACGTTGTAGTAACTGTATACCACATATTACCGCTAATATAGTTAAAATACTAAACAAAATAAACTTACAATCTCATTATGTCATTTATCCATCAGATTCCAATGTTAAAACAATAAGTTCGTTTAACCATCAATGTTAATACAAGTTGAACCACCTGTGTCACGAAAATTATAACAACAAAATAAACACAAAACATTGACCATCGACCATAGAGAAATTCGACATGCAACCTCATAAGATATCGAAATGTCAAATAGTATAACAGAGGTTCCTTAATTTTCTTTACTTGTATACCACTTTAAAAATTTTGCTAGTTTCGGTGGGCCGGCCGCGCCCGGAATATATCCACCATGTCTTTAAAACCAAGTTAGGGGTTGACTCTGCACTTTTTCACATTATAATTATCATAGTCATCAATTCACTGTTTAGCGTGTTGCGTAGTTCTCCATTTGGGTCATATTTAATACGATTGAACGTCTCGGATTTGATTAATAAATATTCATAAAAAAGTGGGGAAAAGAACGAAATACCTAAGTATTACAATTTACTCGTAAGTCACACATTTACTTTGAATAGGAGAAAACAAAGTCCAGTGAAGACAATATTTAAAAAAATCATAGAGTACATTTCAAAGAAGCTTTTGGGGCTCTACCCATAGCTATAAAAATGATATATTGATTTTATTAATAAATATTTATGTTCTTTTATAAAACATAATATGTTTATTACTATCTATATATTTAATGATGCATTTTAGTTTATATCAAATTTCCATAAAGCTTTGTTGGTCTAAATTCGACTTTCTTTAATCTAAACAAACTTAATATACATCGGAAAACTACAACAATCAAAACCATTAATAAAATATTTATGCAAATAACAAAAAAACATTATAAAAGAATATTAATATATTCAGTGATGAAATCAAGAAAACGTGCTTATAACTATAACGAGTGAGTTAGACTGTCACTATTCTGATTTAACTAAGAAGATTTCAAATGAATCTTGCATGCAAATTATGATACGATGTTTTATGTAAAGAAATAAATTTAAAGTTGCAAACAAGAACATCTCTATAAGCCCACCTGTCTCTATTCAGGATGCACAGACTTATGTGTAGCTGAATAAGTTCATTTGAATTGTAAATGTTAGTATTCTACATACAATAATGTTTATATTTTCTAACCAACAGCTGATGTATTATATCACAGTCACGCTCGAGTATACTGGATTGACTTACTGCATGCGAAGTTACAAATGATCTTATACTTACATTATATACCTATGCTTTTATCTTGACGGTTGACCTTGTTGGTCCTGTTTATTTAGCTGAACAAAATTAAATGAAATTTTAAATACGAACATATACTTCGAATGCATGTGGACATGCACGTGTACGTGGACTATGCATGTGTCCAGTTGCCGTTAAGCAAAGATATATTAGATAAAAAATTGAGAACGAATCATATAAGTATCTACCACTATTTGAAATTTGGTGCCTTTCTAATCAAAACAAATAAATTACATAAAAATTATATATGTACAAATATCCTGTGTCACGATGTTCCCAGATACTACTTAACCGTTCTTGATGAAATTCTACATATTAAGTGTACTTAAGAGTAAAATTTTGGCACGATATAAATTTTTTTTATAAATTTTTTTGGGTTGAGTTGGCACAAGTTTATCGTAGTCAGCTAGCTTTATATTGAAGATATATAAAAAGAGCTTTTTTTATATTTATACTCCAGACGGGACTCTACCATATATATGTTTTACGAAATTACAACACTACGACTAATCGTCGGTCTAGTGGTTTCGAAACATATTAAATGTTAACAAACAAACAATCAAATCTTTTCTTTTCGCAATATTAATATAGATGTACGATAGCGAAAGGCGATATTTCAATATTTTAATCCAAACAAACAAATAAAATAAGCTGTAAAATTATAGAACAACATCAACATGTCATTCTGTATAACTACAAAACAATGTTGTTTCTATGGACAGGTCACATTAGCCGTAGAACTGACAATGGAGTGATCTTATTAGGTAAAGCCGTTGGTTCCAGCTGCATATGAAATTGTTCACACCAACGGATACGCAATGGGTCAGCGTGATGGGTCATAGCCCATTCTCTTTCCCAATTCGATTGTTTCTATTTCATCCATAGGGAAGGCCTGAGCCCCAGCTGTGGGAGCATTAAGGTCGGAGAAGATATTGTAAGAAAAATAAATTTATCAGAAAACAAGTTTTTTCATTGAATTAACTGCAATAAAAAGCACTTAATTAAGTTTATATTTCCAGTTGAGCTTCTTTTTGTACAGACAACAGCACGTCAGACTATAAAAATTTGGTAATTTCTAAACTTAATGTTAAAATTTAATGTTCTGAAGGTAGAATTTTTAAATCAACTGGAGAATTTTGTTATATTGTGGAAACCTAACGTACGTAATTCGCGCTAATTTTATCATGATCAAGTTTAAACTAGTTACAGTAATAATAGGAGTTGTCATTAGATCAATGGATATTTCTCTGTAAGAATTCAGAGAAAAACATGTTGGTAATAAACACGTGTGCACTAGTTAATCATTACTTGCAATACCTATATTAAAACAAGTATTTTTGTAGGTAAGCCACGCGTAGGGTTGTCATCTTCTAAGATAAAAAGCCCTATAAGGCCGGACGTTTTCCTTGAAAAGCCAAATTACAGACCAAACATCATATTATCAAGCCAGACATACATTTTAATTGCAATTTTGGACATGACTTTAATAAAAAAATCGGTTTCAAAATAGAGTTCTTTATTACATCGTCAGCCTTTTCACGTCCCCACAGCTGGGGCTCAGACCTTCCTTATGGATGGCTAAGGAGAATGGGCCATGATCCTCGCTGGCCCAATGCGATTTGGAGAGTATTAACGACTGCAAATGCATGGAGTAGCTCGAGATAATAATTTTTGGTCCCGTGACCGATACTTGCGAAAAATGCTTAACAACAACGATCGCGGGCCGCGGCGCATATCCACAACGTCAACGAGCTATACGTCTTATTTAATCAGGCATTATTGCCATTAACGCTTCATCTTTAATACTTTGTACCTTACGAGCTGAGATCACGGCTTTATACTAAAAAATCTTAACAAAACTGTACAGGCTGGACTTATAAATATTTAGCCGGACAACCCTAGCTACGTATTTCGAGAACGCATAAGTCAATCACTAATAGCCTTAATAAATGTGAAGAAAAGGAATGCAGTCCAAATAAAGTAAAGGTATTATTAATTTTAAATTAAATTAATTTAAAGATAATTAAAATATTTTTCACTTCTATAGTTTAAAAGTTTGTCATTATAGTTTACCTAAGAGAGGCATCCTATTCTACTCCATAGCATCTAAATCTACTGCAGCATTTCATGTTCTAGGGTGGTTGTTTTTTTTTATTTAGTGTCTGACCGACGAGCCTCCTGCAAAATCTCAAATCACAAGTAAAGTTTCCATGAGAAAAACTAAAGGTATTTATTATTTACTCATGAAATTTTATTTTTGAAAATGGCACAACACTCAATTGTTAGAAAAATATTAGATACATATTTTTTTTGCTTTAATTTAAGAAAAAAAATATGAAAATTTAGCTGCGTCACAACCGTGTAGAAAATGTAGAAAATGCGACATTTCAAACAATGTAACGCCGTGATTAATCGATTATTAAAAAAATACGTGTTTAATATTCTATAATGATGCACCTGCCGAAATAAAAAATAATATCATCCCTATTGACCTCAATTATCTAACATAAATTTATTAATATGATTTTTGAATAACTCGTATCTTTGATATTATATCACCCTTTGATAAGGAGGTGTATTGTAGACAGCAATTTACTAATATATTTCAGGATCGTGATTGCTCGTACCAAATTGTTAGTGCAATCTAGTGAATAGGACCTATTCACTAAATTGCACTAACGGATTTAACATCCAAGTGTTCCTATATTAATAGTTTCCTGATGTTTTATTTGGGTGAGCGTTGCTGGGTATATCATTCTAAATTGGCGTGTATCGACCTAGTTACTATATGACTGATGATAATGATCAGGAGCTTCTGCGTGTATATAACAAGATTTTTTTTTACTCATTAAATGCTTATTTGGGCGTTAGCAAATAAAGATGTCGAATAATTTTTGTTTGTATGTCCGGTAGATAGATGTTGAAAAATCATTAAAATACGGTGATACATTGACTTAAAATGTTGCATGACGTCACGCTTTTGTATTTTGTACGTTTTACACAAAACTGTTACGAAGCGAGTCCCCACTCCTCAACTTAATCTAAGCTGTATTTTGTTAAATTCAAGTAAAAATAAAATACGTAAGTATTTAATATTTTTCTGTTATCTGACTGAAAGACAAAATGGCATTTCTTTTTTTTATCCAGCCGCTTTCCCTATCGTTTTCTTTAGTATTTGAATTTGGTGTGATAATTGATAAATCGTATAGAAGAATTTAGTTTTTGGTTAATTTAACTCACAAACGAGTTCTTTAATGTTACAATACTGGCATGTCTTCCTCATTTTTTTGTAC